GGGTTTCTATAACCATTTCGCATTAGATGTACGTCGAAAACACGTCCGCGTTACGGCACTATATTACACACCGTTACACACCCCTTGTTTATTCCATCAGTAGTAATATTTCGTAAACGAAAATACATGTTCTTCAAAATTGACTTATACTTTCGACATCAATCAGCCTCTATTCAAATATTCTAAATATAGATAAGCCAAGACATTTTATTCTACTTGATATCTTATTTCTTTTTAATTACAAATAAAATTATGTATATAAATAGTTTTTTTTATTTATTTAATAATTTACACGATATTACAAAAAGAAAAATGCCCTTTTATTTAATCTTAATTAAATCCAAATTGCTACTAATTAATTATCTAAATCTAAATGCCTCATGACAAATTCGCAGAAGAGATGAATTGCCACCAATATTTGTACATAAATGTTGTAATTAAATGTGAGTTGTTCATAATTTTATGGAGAAATTGAAGGTCCAATTTTAGAAATCTATTATAAATGTTGGCATTTTTGTAATTGAACGCACTTCAGTATAATCATGACTAAAATAATCAAATGGTATATATCTAGCTGTTTTGTGACAAATCTTAAGAATTTATTTGGTAATGGAAAACTGAACAAAATCTTACAATCAGGCTAATGGACGCGAACCAAGTACCCTTGGTCCTACAGCGTCCACCGAGCGAGGCACTTATCCTACCGAGCTAATCTGTCGGTTATGACATGATTAATATGATTGTTATAATTTCGAGCAGAGTCCATAATCAGTCCCAAATCTCGCTGTCCATCCACCCTTTCAAGAACTGTTCCAGCTATATTGTAGTAAAATTTAACAATTTTTATTTTTTGTCGAATGACATTATAGTACACTTAGCGGTATTCAAAGGCTGACGATTTTGGACGGACGGTACACCAGAAAAAAAGTGCCGTCAACACGAACAACCTGTCGTCTCTTACAAAGATAAAAAGAAACCGACCTCAAAGTGGTGTCCGAAACACTATAGACCCTATGTTTATACAATAAAATACTGTGATCGACTTTATCAAATGCTTTCAAAAAAGCAATGTAGATTGAATCCACCTGTAGAAATTATACCTAATTTTCAACACTCAGGAAAATAACCCGCTATGAGAGAAGAGTTGAATATAAAAAGAAGAGGTTCAATATTAATAATCGATGAACAGCACGATCTCAGAAAAAAATTTAACAACATATCTTTGAAAAATATTCATTTTAAAAATAATTCGATTATTTCCCAATATTCTGAAACTAAATATTTTGTATCATGGGCGATCTTTTAGATGCAAAGCAACCACCGTGATTCCTGTCCCAATATGTCCATAGATCAACGCTTATAATATTTAAATTGAATATTATTTAATTGTTCCCGATTTCCAGAATATACCCTTAATCCCAATAATCGAAAATATAACTCACCTATTTGTGTTGGTGGCGAATGATTGGTTGCGTGAATCAAATCTGCTGCCGGTCTCTAGGTACGATGATTAATTAATAAGGGAAATTCATTATCTCTCACAGCTCGAAATCCAAAACAGCAAGAATCAAAATTCACGTCCCATGCGCGCTGAGACCAATGCGAGCTGGCTCCTTCCAATAACACTAATAAATCCCTTTTAATTCTTCAACATTTTTCGCTAATTTATTGCAATTTCTACATGGAAACACCACTTCCTTAATATAAATGTTTATTTTGATTGTATGTAATCGTCTTTGTTAAAAAGAGAAGAATAACTCTCTCAAAGATTACCTACTTCACAATAATGTTGAAAAAATTATAATTTAAATAATTGATAATATTAATTAATTTAGAACGCTAATTTTGTTTAAACGGAGAATGATAAGACAAACAAGAAAGCTTCAACGGCATTTGCTGGCCACTAGAATTCCACTGTACTCACCAAACATCATTTACACGAAATGACTTTCCACAATTAGTACAGTCAATCTAGCTTGAAAAAGGCGTTTTTTTGGAAAAAATACCTTACTCGAGATTATTTCATAAATCGTTAGTGGTATATATGTGACTAGCTTAAAACCAAAAAGTTGGGACACCCCCCCTTGGGGAAGAAGGGGAAACTCAAAATTTCTTTGGATTCGATTTTGTGCAAAAACCGTAAGTCTTACTAAAAAATTTCTCAAACAAAAGTTTTAGAGAACATATTTCTCTACATTTTATCTCATTGGGCCACTACTGTACAACTTAATGTGCGAAAGCTAGAGGGCGCCAAAATTGCTAAGAATCAGTTTTTCCCTTTTTTCGTACCAAAAAAACCATTTTTACGTTTTGGTGTAAATAGAAAAGTTGTAGAGCTTAAAAAAACCTACAAAATTCATATACATAATTTTTTTCCACGTTGCACTCTTTTGGAGTTACAGGCTATTTATTCATTGTTACGTATAGGTAATACATATAATTGGCGGGAATGGAATGACCGAAGTTCTATTTATTGTTCTCGAGGTTTGTGATTATAGCAAAATGTTAAATTTGGTTTACTATTTTAGCGGAAAAAAGTGTTTTTAATAAAAAATGACAGTTATTTGAAAATCATCCTTATATTATAAATATAAATATAACGCTGACATAATAGTGTATTATGCACCAAGGGTGTAAAGCGCAGTTTGGTAACGTTCGCGTTGAAACCGGGCGAGTGTAAATACGAGTTCGTAGAACATTGTTCAAATTCAAAATCGTGAAGTCATCCTAACCTAAAAATTTCGATTAGATTATTAATTGTGCATTCTTTTCGAAAATTTACGATTCAGTCGAAATTTTTAGGTTAGGATGACTTTACGATTTTGAGCATATATGACAAAGTATTGTATAATCAAGGGTGGACCTCGTTTTTTCCTTTGAAAAATGATCTACGAACTCGTCTTTACACTCGCCCGGTTTCAACGCGAACGTTGCTAAACTACTATTTATAATATGTGGATGATTTTCAAATAACTGTCATTTTTTCAATAAAACACTTTTTTCCGCTAAAATAGTAAACCAAATTTAACATTTTGCTATAATCACAAACCTCGAGAACAATAAATAGAACTTCGGTCATTCCATTCCCGCCAATTATATGTATTACCTATACGTAACAATTAATAAACAGCCTGTAACTCCGAAAGAGTGCAACGTGGAAAAAAATTATGCATACGAATTTTTTAGGTTTTTTTGAGCTCTACAACTTTTCTATTTACACCAAAACGCAAAGATGATTTTTTTGGTACGAAAAAGGGGAAAAACTGATTCTTAGCAATTTTGGCGCCCTCTAGCTTTCGCACATTAAGTTGTACAGTAGTGGCCCAATGAGATAAAATGTAGAAAAATATGTTCTCTACAACTTTTGTTTGAGAAATTTTTTAGTAAGACTTACGGTTTTTGCACAAAATTAAATGCAAAGAAATTTTGAGTTTCCAACTTTTTTGAGTGTCCAAACTTTTTGGTTTTAAGCTAGTCATATATACCACTAACGATTTATGAAATAATCTCGAGTAAGGTATTATTTTCCATCAAAAATGCCAGATTGACTGTACTAAATTGCAAAGAACGTGGAAAAATCGTCATCTATGTATAGAGTTTAAAACAAATATAAATTATAAAGATTAAATTTCATTTAAAGAATAAAAATATTATTTTTCAAGCTTAGAATATCTTCTAATAATATGTGATACTCCGATGATTACAATTTCGATTCATCATTCCTTATAGAATTACAAAAATGTAACGTAAATTATGATTGATTAATGGTGACATTTATTCTCTTATCTACTACAACTCTTATAAAGAAGCAGACAATGAAGTAAGGAATAAATTATTCTAAAATATTAATGTAATTATTTATAAGAGAACAAATATCAGTTTTTGCTTGTAATGCTATCATTAGGGTGTTAGATGAACATGATCCCGTAAGTACATTTGTAGTTTCATGGTAGGTATATTTTTGCGGAGGAGAGATGAGAGCAGTTACTAATTTGGTCAGATATTACATTCTTTACTAAATATTAACTGCAGTTTTTGGACCCTATGATAATTAAAAAAGACTGGTTGTAAACTTGAGCAACTTAATGTATGGAAGTGTTTCTGAAAACCCCCGTCCTTGCATTAGGCGATTTCTTATAATCAAAGAAGTTTCTCTAAAGGGTAGAAGTGTCAGAAACCTTTCGGTTTACAAAATAATTTTTCAAGTGAATGAATATTATATGAAAGGGAAAATCAAAATGAAGCATAAAATTGACAAATATTTTATACCACACTTAGACTGTAAAGCGTTGCGTGAAACATTAATCTTAAACCGCCTCAAAAGTTTATATCTACAGAGACGTAATGGATTCATAAGAGCAATACCACACCTCATGTGCTTCTACGCTTAAAAATATAAAACAAGAGTTTGATATTCCTTTACAATTTTTTTGATTAATTGTCGGTTGATTAATTAAACAGAAAGAAGCCGTAACATAAAAATTACAATCAACAAAAAAAAGTAAATTACACAGTACGGAGAAATATTAAAGTTTTAGGTAGTTTGCCGATTACTCAAGACCAATAGACAAAGTAACAAAGCACTAAGAAGTATTTCAAAGTGGCATTAGTTATAACTAATATTCTTTTGAAATACTTTTCAGTTCGCGGGGTATAAAAGAAAATTCATAAGGGTCAGCAATCAACATATATTTAGTAAGGGTAATTAATTAAAAGGTCACAGCATACGATGGCGTGGAAAGCTAAAAGGGGGAGAAATAATGTGGTCATTAAAAGTAGGAGTGTTGGTAAAGGTAACAATTCAAAGAAAAATTGAAGTTAGTAAATTTTATCAATATATAAAAATAAATTAATAGGGGGATTGGTAACGCTAACAATTTAGTGGAGAACATTAATTTGTGAATTAATTAATTAATAAACTTGACTAAATAGTTAAATTCTAAATTTTTTCTTTAAAAATTCTCCTTCACCACACTTATCCAAATAAATTTTCATTACAGATTCACAACTGCCGAGATTTGCGGAACCAATACAAAATGTGACAGTAAGCATAGGGCGAGATGCCCTTCTTTCTTGCGTTGTCGACAATCTACGGAATTTTAAGGTACAAATTTAAATAATTTTTTTATTTTTTTTATTTTTTTTTTTATTTTTTTTTTTTTTTTTTTTTTTAATTTTTAATTTTTTATTTATTTTTTTATTTTTTTTTTATTTTTTTTAATTTTTTTTTTTTTTTTATTTAATTTTTTATTTTTATTTTTTATTTTTTTTTTTTTTTTTTATTTTAAGGTACAAATTTTTTTTAGGTACCCTATCAATATTGTAACAATAGTGATTATTATTCATAATAATAATTTTAAGAAGTTTAGTAATATTACAATTTTAATCTCAATAGGACACACGGTGGTCTTCAAGCACTTTTAGGTTTACCTAAAATGAGTCAAAATTGTGCTAACGCACCCTTATGAAAAAAGAGTACTGGAATGAGTATTGGAAAGAGTACTGGAATGAGTATTGGAAAAAGTACTGGAGTGAGTACTGGTTTGAGTATTGGTTTGAGTATTGGAAATCCAGTACTTTTTTCGCCTTTATATAATCTAAAATTCTTTTACTCGAATATTTGCAATTGACTCTATTCTTAAACCTGAAATATTATAAGTAAAATTCATTTTTCTTATTTTTATTTCCTATAATTCTTATTTTTCTTAATTCTAATTGTCGGAATAATTTTCTGTCATTTCTGTCGACTTTTTAATGTCCACATAACCTAAAATTTATTATTTATTTTATTTAAAAATAAATATATATATATATATTTTTTTTTTAAAATCACATAATCATATCCACCCCCACAGCACCGAAACTTTCCTAAAAATGTAATTAATATTTACTTGCAATATTCGGAATATTTAATTGCAATGTTTATTGAAAGTTGTGTACAGATTTAAATGTCCCGATTTAATAAATGTTTAGCGCGAAGCTTTCCTGAACATTTCAATAAAATCTTTGCATAATTATAATTATAATTATGCAAAGATGTAATTTCATGTTCAGGAAAGCTTCGCGCTAAACATTTATTTAATCGGGACATTTAAATCTTTATACAATTTTCACTAAACTTTTCAGTTAAATATGACGAATATTGCAAGTAAATATTTAATAAATTTTTAGGAAAGTTTCGGTGCTATGGGGGCACTAATATTGACATAATTCCTATTTTTTTAATGTCCTATTTTTTATTTTATTTGTTGTTTTTCGTTCTTCCAATTGTCTATTATAAGTCAGACTTTTTTTTAATAAAAATTTATTTTAACGAATGGGCGTTTGACACATTTATTTTTTCTAAAAATCACATAATAATATTCACTAAGATTAACTGCTACACGGAGAGAGAATATATATTAAATTTTGTAAAAATATTTTCAAATTGGGGAAAAAGTGCGACAAAGCGAAATTTTGATATAAAAAATACTAAACTTTAAAAAAACTTATGTGAAATTTAGTATAATTATATTAAATATCAAGAATATTAATTAAATTCTAATATAACTTTAGTAAATTTCACAAAACTTTTTTTAAAGTTTAGTATTTTCTATATCAAAATTTCGCTTTGTTGCACTTTTTCTCCAATTTGAAAATATTTTTACAAAATTTAATATATATTCTCTCTCCGTGTATTTGGCATAATTCCCAATTTTCTGAAAAGTTAAATGTCCTATTTTTTATTTTACTAATTATTGTTCGTTCTTCAAAGTATCTATTTCGCTTTTGTTGCAATCGTTGCAATGCAATGTAATGGCAATCATATTAACAGCTGAGCCTTTACGCTCGCTGCATGTTTCTGCCCTTTACTGGCAAATGGCTATAATACACGTCTTGCCGCCTGTCATAATTGCATTACTTTTGTACCTTTTGTATTTTCCATTCTGCAACCGCGTTTCTGCATAGATTTAAACAATCTTTTGAATTATTGTAATTTAGAAGATGCTTACCCATTGTTCGTTGGCAGATTTTCTAAAAAGTGCCCGTGTACAGAGAAAAACTAGTTCGAAAACATTTGTTTACTAATTTCACGTCGTTTAACCCAGGCAGTGCCGTTTTTCTTATAATAATTGTAAGTCGCACATAACCTACAAATTTCAGAGACTTGACAATTTAATTCACACCTTCAAAAATTGTTATGAATTAGAGATTATGATTAATTATTTATATATTCGACGAAATAATTCAATTCTCCTAATTAATCCATTATTCTATAATAAATCGTGTTATAATTTCTCTAACGGGCGAATTAATCTTTTTTTTATTTCGCCCATTTTTTTGTATATTCTTCTGACGGACGAAATAAACTATTATTCTTATTTCGCCCGTCACTGTGTATTTTTGTGACGATAAAAATTTTTTATTTTTAATAAAAAAAGTCTGACTTATAGACAATTGGAAGAACGAATAACAATTGGTAAAATAAAAAATAGGACATTTAATTTTTAAGTAAATTGTGAATTATGTCAATATTAGTGGATATGATTATGTGATTTTTAGAAAAAAAAAATATATATGTGACGCTCCACGAGAAAAGGGACCTTATGACAAGAGTAAATAAGGTCCCTTTTCTCGTGGAGCGTCACATATATATTTAAATAAAATAAATAATAAATTTTAGTTTATGTGGACATTAAAAAGTTGACAGAAATGACAGAAAATTATTCCGACAATTAGAATGAAGAAAAATAAGAATTATAGGAAATAAAAATAAGAAAAATGAATTTTACTTATAATATTTCAGGTTTAAAAATTGAGTCAATTGCAAATATTCGAGTAAACGAATTTTAGACTATTTATAAAGGCGAAAAAAGTACTGGATTTCCAATACTCAAACCAATACTCAAACCAATACTCACTCCAGTACTTTTTCCAATACTCATTCCAGTACTCTTTCCAATACTCATTCCAGTACTCTTTTTTCATAAGGGCAGTTTTATCTGTAATCGTCCCAAGATTCCAAATTTTCATTTCCGAAAATCATAGCTGATTCTTTTTTCGAAAAAAAACATATATATGGGCAATTCCACGTGAGATTTAAGTCCACCTCTTAAAATCGGCCAAAAAATATTTCTTTTTCTATTCTGTATCGAAACAAATTAGATTCGTATTTTTTTATTTTTGTTTAATTGTACAAATTTTCGAGTTATAAATTTTCGAAATTTTTGACTTGTAATTGAAGACCTATATTCAGTAGCTTATAATTCCGAAAATATTGAGTTTAGGAAAAAGTTGTCAAAGAATGAAAGTTTTAGTTTTCTTTCGAGTTTTAAGAAATGTAAACAAAAAATTTTTTTTATAAACAAATTAATTGTTTTTAACTTTGGGCCGGATTTAAAAAATTTTTTTTTAAATTTATTTATACCTTATAATATAGAGGAAGTTTCCAAAAAGTACCGAAATGGGCCTGATGTGTTAAATGAGTTTTAAAACATTTTCAAAAATCACTTGCAAGCATCACATGGGATATTTTTACAATTAACTTTTTAGAACTGTCTGCAGCGTATAAATTTTAATCTATTTGTGTTCTTTGTTTTAAATTAAAGGGTCTACGCTGTAGATAGTTTTAAAAAGTTAATTGTAAAAAAATCCCACTATCGACTAAAATCTCACGTGGAATTTCCCATAGGGTAATGTCACCTTGAGTGGACCGCCTGAGCTTTTAAGTTATCTGACAGCGGAAACGTGAAATAAATAGTGCGAATAGCAGCACCGCACCTAGAAACCGTAAGAAATTAAGTTCCGCGATAATCATATACGTTACCGTTTGATGTAACGCATTTTTGAGAACACAAACCAAAAAAGAAGTCGCTCTTTCAATGAGTAAAGTGATTTAGAAGTGTGAAAGTAGTGTAAAATTTAAGTTTTAAAAGGTAACTTATTTTTTTCCTACTACTTTGGACATTGAAATTGATTGTCTTAGTTTAATTTAGTGATAATTTTGACTCAAAAAAAATTGTGGTGGCTGCCATAAAAAGTTGTTTGTCACCATGAGTGGACCACAGTTTATAACCATGAGTGGACTGCCTGCTTTTTCCATTTTTAATGTCAGTTTAACATTTCTTTAGATATAAATTGACAATAAATTAGTTTGAAACTATGATTTATGTTCTTTATTAATTTTTTTGTGATATTGATGTGATATGTGACAAAATTATTAAAAATGGTTTCACTTGTAAACATTGCGACACATACATGGTCTGAAGCTGCATAAGCATAAATTTTGTTTCAATATATCAGAAATATTATATACATTAAAGAATTTAAAATAACTTTTACAATTTTTTAGGAGTGGTCAACTCAAGGTTACACTTTTTTCATTCCTTAAAAATTAGCTTTTTTTAAAAGTCGATTGTTTTTTCCAATAAAAAAAATCAAAGCTATTATGGTATAAACACTTATCTAGGGATTTAAACTAAAGCTTGAAATAGAAACCTCCGATTAATTTGCTTTTATACAGAATTTTTTAGAAAAAAAGCTTCAGCGGTCCACTCAAGGTGACATTACTCTATATATGTTTTTTTCGAAAAAAGAATCAGCTACGATTTTCGGAAATGAAAATTTGGAATCTTGGGACGATTCCAGATAAAACTGCGTTAGCACAATTTTGACTCATTTTAGGTAAACCTAAAAGTGCTTGAAGACCACCGTGGACAATAATGAATATTATTTCCAATGAAAATATTAGTTTATCTTTTTTATTGAATAAAGACGGAAGATGGTTTTAATGTTTTAAATGCTGAGTAATTTTATTAAAAACTCGAGGTACCAGTGTGACACAATTGCAGTGCATATCCAAGATTAAATGAAGTTTGTCGAGCGAAGGCAGTAAGAAAGTGACTTCATCACGTCACTCAGTAAATGAAATCTTTCTCTTGCAGACGCGTAGAGAAAATTTAGTTTCGTTAAAATTTCCTCCACGTAGACACTACTGCTGGACTTCAGTTTTTTAACATAGCTGCATCTCTCCAAGAAAGTCATGTTCAAGATACAAAGAATATAAAGATCTATTGTGATCTTATCACTTTAAGGAGAAAAGTAAAATATTTCAAAGTATTTTTATTTTGCAGTCTCTACAGTTTGCATCTTTATATTTGATTTTGAAAACAATTCTTTACAATTTTCTTTATCATCAAATGATTTTTACAGAATATGATATTTTTATCCTTCTTTCTGATTTGAAATCGTTTGGAAAGGTTGTTATTGTTCCTGTAAATTTTTAAGAAAAAAAAGCAGTCAATTCACCTGTCAGTTGAATGTAGTTACAAAAGAAATCTTAAAAATGGGAATGAAAGGAAGAAAACAGTACAATAAAATGCAAGGACAATACACAATATTAAAAACTACCATTACTTGCGTTTGTACTTATCTCTAAAGAATAAAAAGATGTTTTCTTAAACCATAGAAAATATTGTTTTTAAAACCATCTGAGTTGAATTGTTTCTTCTATACATTTCACAAACTGTCCTTTTTTAGTAAGAATTATTTCTGAAAATAAGGATCCATGTTACTTTTCACCTTCTAATAAATCTTGAGTGTTTCTTCTGTTTTAATTTGACAGTAATGTTCAATTTTATATTTTATTATACATTTTCTTTGTTATAAAGTTACCTCTCTTTGTCAAAATCAATTTATTACCATGCTGATTTATGTGGGAGATAAAATTTCACCTTGTATTCTTTATTCTTCAGCTTATTTTTTTGTGATGAAATTTCCATTGTTTTATACTTCTAACTGTTAAAAAACTTTTTCACGAGAATTGAAATATTTATTTAATCAGTAAAAACAATTTTCCACTTTTCTTTCAGTTTTTTTTGTCTGTGCGAGATAAATAATAAATTTTTGCATGAAACTTCGTTTTACTACAAATGACGAAATTCCCAGGATGTCCTTGTTCGAAACTCGAGTATGTTACATGTTCAAGACTATATATAGCTTTATATCACTTGAATTTCCAAGGAGAGCCCCGACGTGTCTTTATACGCGTTCCTAAGGAAAATGCATTTCTACAGGAAAACTTAAAACACAAATTGGATTTTATGTGCGGTCGAAAAATTGGAATTTACGTAAGAGATTGTAGTTTCTCCAAGGGATGAATTAGAAGAATTTAAGGTGGATTGGCAGAAATATCGATTGAGACTGAAAACTATTGGTTTCAAATAACCCTACCGCACGTAATCCTAGTAATACTTCCTGGATTATCTAAGACGAGAAACTTACATAGAGCACACGTTGGTTTTCGCCATTAAAGTTATATGTTCTGTATTTCTCTCTCACTCTCTCTACTTATGGCGAACTTGTATTCCTTCGACTAGGGATCGACTTGATAAATTTCTTCACTGACTAGAAAGCTGAAAGAGCTTCGCGTAGTTTGAAAGCAGATACTTTACTTTATTCACCGAACATAGTTCCGCGCACAAGTTTCAATAGCAATGCTTTCAAAAAGTATTTGTAAAGGGGACGTAAACTTTTCCAGCAATTTTTATTCAATTTCAACAAAACTTCATTTCGTTAAAACTGCTTTATTTTGCTTTAAATAAGATTTGACGATGTATTTAAATTTTTCTCGCTTTGAAATTTTTTGTTATTCTAATTTTTTAAATTTTAGTTTCTATTCTTGGATCAAAATCAAATTCACTTGTAATGGATGTACAAATTTTATAATGGAGAATAATTTTTTAATTTTTGTAGATACATTGATTGTGAAATATTGTAGTGTTTAGGGCGAAATTATATCATGCGCCGCACCTGAGTTAACGCGTAACCAATCAGGGCCCGAGCGCCCCCCACTACCGAACAATACTTGAGTATATAAACTGACGCTCAGCACGGAAATTCAGAGTCGGAGTGGTGTTACCGATAAGAGATGTTATAGAAGTCTTCGGTTTTTTAAACTTTCCGCATTGTCGAATTCTTCCTTTTTTTAAATATATGATAATCGATGTTTTAATAGAAAATTTATGGACATAGAACTTACGCAAACTAATACAAGCCTCTCAAAAATTTAGGGTTTACCTAAAATTCATGAAAATAACAACCCTGAGACCTGTCGTTTTTACTATTGTCTCTACAATTCATTTTATATCCAAACGACTATTTACATTATTTTATGATTTTATTAATAAACCATAATCTTATATACGTATTAGTTGTGATTTTATAAAACTTATTACTGCTTGGTATAAAAAGCTCACATTTTCTGGATTTATTAACAAGCATATAGAAAAACTTTTTTTTTCAATAGAAATATCACACTTAACAATAATAATAATAAAAATACTATATAAAATGCTTCCAAATTTTTTTTTTTGACATATGTGACAGATCTTTATAAAAAATATCACTTTTCCTTAAATACTATAATATTTCAACTATTCCTAATAACAATAATAATATGACCTACAACCTAATTGTATCAAAGCTAAAAACAAAGAAACTGATAATACCAACACTGCTTAAACAATAAATTGCAAAAATTTCTCAGCATCTTATTTTGGTCAGTCAAAGAGAATGGTTGGAGTTCACATAAAGAACATAAAATCTCTAAATCTAATGTCATTGCTATCCATAATAATTTGCTTAACCACACATTTCATTGGGATAACTTATTAATACTTGACAAAGAAATTAATTACAAACAACGCTTAATATCAGAAATGATTAACATCAATTTCTAAAATAACCCGGATAATAAAAAAGATGACACACAAAATCTCAGTAACTATTATATTTAATTCAGAAGGAAAAGAAATTCCTGTGAATCTTTATCTCTTATCTGATTTACCTTAACCATTCTCTTGTCTTGCCTTCTATTTACAGATGGGTCATTCACCCCATCTTCATCGATTCATATTTGTTCATTCTGTAACTTGTACTGCGAATTAGTGTTTAATTATACTCGTTTCGACAAATACAAATAAAATAAAAAAGTTAATTAAAACATTTTTGTAATTTTTTAGGTAGCATGGGTTCGTGTAGACACACAAACAATACTCTCTATTCATCATAATGTAATCACACAAAACCCTCGTATCTCCCTCACATATAATGATCATCGTTCTTGGTATCTTCACATAAAGAAAGTTCAGGAAGTGGATCGAGGATGGTACATGTGTCAAGTAAACACAGACCCTATGAGAAGTCGACAAGGCTACCTTCAAGTTGTTGGTAAGTTTCCTTCGCGACAATCAACTATGCGACAAACATGTCTCGCAACTCTATTCTAGATGTACATATACATGTGTGAGTGTGAGTGTGCGAAACATCAGGACGACGAATTACTACACCCTGTTATCTTCTACTCAGACAAGTAATTTAAGAAGTTATGCGAATAATCTACAAAGCTGAATTAGAACTCTAGGTCATACAACAAGTCCAATTTATTACTTAAAGTGTTACACGTACAATGTTCGCGAATTTAATTTAACAGTTGCTTGCATTTGCATTTGGGGAGAATCGAAATGATTCTTGTTCAGAATTCAAATTGTAACATGCAAAACATAAATACAGATGTGTAATATACAGAGTAGAAATAAAATTTTCAGTTATAAATTCTTTTAAAAGTGAAAAAAAAGACTTTTCGGTGAATATGTTTAGGATAGAAAGGAAAGAATGCAACAGAATTAGAATTCTCAAAACGCGATGTTTATTTTTGGTTCATTTGGTGTATATACAGTAAGGGATGAACACGAATGACCTGGAAATGAAATGTTCGCTCATGAAGATGTCTATTTTTATATATATATATATATATTTTTTCCCTCCAATTATAGTGCCACCGTCGATCATTGCCAAAGAAACAAGCACGGACATGGTTGTACGCGAAGCATCGAATGTAACATTAACTTGCAAGGCTGCCGGATATCCAGAACCCTATGTTATGTGGAGACGGGAAGATGGAGAGAATATAAATTATAATGGCGAAAGTGGTGAGTTTTCATATGAAAATTACGTACATTTTTAATTTTCATATCTTGTATTTTATATTATTTCCAAAAATAAGCGTGAGTTGTTCATTTTTAAAAATTTACAAATTCTATAAAGAATACTGACATGTATTAAAAGCATCGTAAAATTTAAATACACTCCGTTCTGTGTTTTTACATCTACTATTCTGAAAATATTAATTATTACACGGAGAGAAAAATCAAGCGTTTGTAGTATGGACCAGTTAAGCTTATTTCGTAAAAGAATGCACATGCGCAATATGCGTAAAACTTCTGCTGTATTTGTATAAATTTCTACGTTATCAGCATAAAAGTTCTACCTGTAACGCATGGGACGTCAGTATACTACGATTGCAAGAGATCCATGCTTTTTTAGTATATGTTTCATGCAACTGAGGTATAAAAACATGCCTCTTTAGCAGGACGTTCATACAAAATTAGCATAGGAAGTCTCCATACTACAAACGCTTGATTTTTCTCTCCGTGTACTTTCCTACAAGCAGAACTCATCACTACGAGTATGAATTTGTGTGAATAATAAATTACCTTTTCTTCTGTTTGAATTTAAATTTAATATTCAGAAAAATTAAATTTTCTTTACAAAACAGACATTGGACATTTTGAATATTTGATAAATTTAAAAAGTGTTTGTTATGTTTTAAAATGAAATCGACATTTCAAAAGAGAACGAATATAAACTTCAGTTAAAATTTGATTTCCTCTTAACTGTAATTTATTTTATCAATTTACAATTCTATTCAATTAAAATAATGCAGTAAAGTTGAATTTATTTTTCTTTCCTTCGGTTTTTTTTTTCATTTTGTTTTATTAAATTACTTTAGTCAAATCGAATGCACCTCTCGATCACAGGCAATGCGTGAAATAGAAATTATGCAGATTCTCTTCAATGTAATGCGTTACTTCCTCGATCAATTATTACCGAACGGCTGTCCAGCATTGAAATTCTGTCGCCCGATTAACTCGATGTTGTAACGCAATTATTCAGCCGCCAATGACATTTCACGTTTGTGAAGATTCGTTCACAATACATGAAACTTGGTTTTTTTCCGAAAAAAGAGAGAATCGCTCTGTTTCAATTAATTCAAAAAAGGAAATTAAATGGTTGAAACATAAAATTTTTGAATATACGACAAATGTATTTTTAAAAAAGACAGATTATTGATAATAAAATATCATATTAAATTAAAAAGAGAAAATAGAAAATTTACATCATTCTAAATGATGTATTCACAGTGAAAAAAAAGTCTGACTCCGTTTACAGCTTAAATTCAGCCTCAAAAATAGGCTAAAAGTAAGACTTTTTTTTAGTGTGTTGTTTCAATAAATAGTTACTATAGAATCAATTTTTAAAGACTGAGATTGAAAAGAAAATAAATGGAATGAAATGATTAAACAGTTCAAAATTATTTGTTAATTAATTAATAATCGAGAAAGTGGAATTATATTATTGAATTAAAATATAAAATCCTAAACGAAAAATCCTTTCTGTCGTAATTTATTAAAAAATAGTTGACTAAAGCGGAAAAAAATTGTGTTATTAATCTTTCGTGACCATTGTGTCCATCCAACAACGCAGCAATTATCAAATTTCAAATGTAGTTTATAGAATGTAAAATCGTAAAATTGAGTTATATGTGGGCACTGTCGGTGACATGCTTTTTTTTATTGTCCAAGTATAACTTCAAGCGGGTCGTAATATTTGAAGAGAGGTGAAAATTATGTGACAATTATACAATGACATTAAGTATTCGGTAAAAGCTTTATAGCTGTTTCATTGAAGTTTTGTACAGGACTTTCCAACCGGTTTTACTAAACGACCACAATAAAAGCGTTAAGACAATACACAAGATTTTTCTATTTACAAATTTTTTTATTTAACATCTTCGTTAAAAGTATTTTTTAAAAAATTAATTTCTCCAAAATCTAAATGAATCATAAATTGAATACATAATTTATTAAAAATTAGCTGCCTCGTGAGGAAAAAAATTTTTCTTGTCTGTAATCTATTGCAGCATAATACAAATGATATTTTCAGAACAAAAGCATGTCTATTTTTCATGGGCCAAAATTTCTGGTTGTTAAATGTCTTACTAACATAATACAATTGATGCCAAGCGCCCTAGAACTCTAAAGTTCACTTTACTGCATCCTGCAGTTTACTCAACTTCAAGAAGCATGTACTTTACGACTTTGCATCAGTCAGACCAAGTTATTCCTTATTTGCGTATGAATAAAATATTACGAGCTCTCGCGAATAATGTTCTTCAAAGCATAATATTTTGCATCCTTTATAGGTTTGATCAATATAAAGTTTCTCTCGAATTAATCACCAGCCTTTAGTATACTATAATTTAAATGCATTTTCTCATATCAACATTGCTAGATATGAGCTGAATATGTTACACTTTTAATGTTGAACTTACCTTCTTCAGAGATAAACATCAACAAAATTATTTAAACTGATATTCTGATTAATATTATATCAGCTCACTATTATTTTTACTTTTCTTGTAGAATATTTTTTTTAGTATTTAACGGAGTTACTTAAATAGAAGGTCGAGCTCTTTCTTGGAAGGAGGATAAAAAATGTAATTAATATATATATAAGACTAATTGAAATTCAAAGCAGAGTAAAAAACATTAAAAAATAATAATCATACGCCATGTTTCACTGTTAAATACACAAAAAGTGTAGACAAGTGCACAGACAAATAATAGTACTCGAGTGTCTCTCCCACTCTTTTCATTTCCGCGCTGCGCATGTGTCGACTGGAGGGGGAACTGAAAGCAATTGGCTCGCTCTCTTCTACTAAATCAAAGAAGAAATTGTCCTTAACACTAATCATTATTTTTTCTTTCTGAGTTTATTTACTTACTTGCATATAATAATAAACTAATTAATTTACTCCTTAACTAAAATATATTAAAAAAAAAATTTTCGTAAAAATTATTTTATTTAAAGAATCCGATTTACATTTGAAGATCTTATTTTACCTCTAATGTATGAGAATTCTATTTTCAGTGCATCGAAATACAACTTACATTCATTCTTATTTCCTATTGTCAAATCGCATGCTCTCCTTTCTCGTACAGCGAGGAAGTATTTCATCGATCTGCAAATGCCGCGATGTCGTTTTCTTTAAAGGTATTGGTAGTTGATATCTTGTATCGCGTGGAGAACGAACATAATGGCTCCATATCTTGTTGTCTGGAATTCCATAAATGTGCCAGCTACATAGATATACACACATAAATCTATATACATCTATATTACACATGTGTGACAAAATCAACGAATGATCAATCTCATTTATCTACTATCTATTTTCTAATACCTATAGAATCTTCAATAAAGCACTATTGTTAAATATAAAAGCATAATGAAAGAATCAGATTTCGCACGTCTATTTTTATGTCATTATTATATTGTAATTTTTTGATTTTATTCTTTTTAAAAAATAATAAAAATTGCAATGATTTTACAAAATTTTTAAAATCTAGATACTTGCAGGGCTCAAACTAGGTCCGTAAATCCCGTAAAAGTCCGTAGCTTTGCTTGAAGTCCGTAAAAGTTCGTTTTCTTTTAAAAAAGGTCCGTAAAGTCCGTAATTTGATTGAAAAAGGTCCGTAAATTCTACGATATAATTTGGATAATTTTTCAAAAATTACAAATGATTGTAGAAATTTAATTATTTTCAAAAGTAATAAAATTCTTCTCAAAAATTTAATTATGTTCAAAAATTTCTATAAATTCTCGTCAAAATTTCAATAATTATCTTTAGAAATAATTAAATTCCTCTCCAAAATTCAATTATTTTCAAAAATTTTAATAAAATTGTTGTAAATATTTCAATTATTTTCAAAAATTTTCCTCAATTTAATGATTTTTAATAGGTATCTACTATTCTAATGAAATTTTCCAAAAAAATTTAATTGTTTCAAAAAAAGTTTAATAAAATTCTACACAAACATTTAATTATTTTCAAAAAATAATAAAAAATTCACAGGAATTTCATTATTTACAAATTTTATATAAATTTCTTCGCAATCATTAAATTATTTTCATAAATAATAAAATTTTTACAGGGATTCAATTATTTTGGTAAATAATAAAATTAATGGCAGAATTTTGATTATTTTTAATACAATTTTATTCGAATTTCTCGGAAAATGTAATTATTCATAAAAATTTTTTTAACTTTCATGAAAAGAATTCAATTTTTTAAAAATTTGTTAGTAAAATTCTTTATGAGAATTTATTTTAAATTATACAATAAATTATTTATTTTTGTATTTAAATAATTGAATTCTCGTAGAATTTTCTGTTCAAAACTGATTTGAAAATTAATTTTTTTTTGAAATTTTAGATAATAATTGAATATTAAAAGCATTGGAGCTTGAATTTTTAGAAAAAATTGAATTTTGAAAAAGTTTCAAATTAAAATCTTGGAAAATCTGAATTTTTCATACTTTTCAACTAACAACAATTCTGTAGAATTAATTTTTTTTTAATTTCTCTTCAAAATTTCAATTATTATCTTTTCAAATAATAAAATTCTTCTAAGAAATTAAATTGTTTTCAAAAATTTGAATGAAATTCTTTTCGAAATTTGAATTATCTTTAAAAATAATTAAATTCTACTGCAAAATTCAATTATTTTTTAAAATTTTTAATAAAATTCTTAGCAAAATTTCATTCATTTTCAAAAAAATTCCTCAATTCAATGATTTCTAATAGGCATCTACTATTCTAATAAAATTTTTCAAAAGAATTCAATTATTTAAAAACAATTTAATCAAACTCTACACAAACCTTTAATTATTTACAAAAAATAATAAAAATTTCACAGGAATTTCATTATTTACAAATTTTTTTATAAATTTCTTCGCAATCATTCAATTATTTTCATAAATAATAAAATTTTTACAGAGATTTAATTATTTTGGTAAATAATAAAATT